AGCAAGTCTTCAAAAAACCAGAGACACAAAACTGCAACGTGTGACGTTCCGTGCTTATTCCCTACAGCGGAATGCAATGAATACTTGCTCTCTAGATCAAGAAAATACTTATATTATGCTGTATAGAATGTGGTATTTCCTGCCCCACTTTGCCGCTCACTCTATATTGGATTGACTGGTTGTGGTGTGCTAATTCGTCTTGCCAAAATGCTTATTTCACCAATAACCAAGACATTTTTTTTTACAAAGTGCAAACAGAAACAATATCTGCAAAAGCCTGGTCGAGCACCAAAGACATCTTTGTATTCTCAACTAGCTGCCGCCTCTGCATAGTTCCAGAAACAATCAAACATTGCCTTATTGATTGTGAGGACGCTATTCTCTTTTCGGACATCCTGAAGAGAGCTTTTAAAATAAACGACTGGATTTAAATATTCTTAGTACCCGTTATCTTGTACCACCCAAATGCAATTATATGCCATTTGACATGCTGTTGTCAATGCGCATGCATAGTGTATGAGAAACTCGCATGTTTGACAGGCATGCGGAACCAATGGTGTCTTCGCGATGCCACTTTGTGCAACGGACTGTGCTGCTAAGATGATTTTATGAGCAACTGCAGTTTCAGTTGGACTGGTATACATCGTTCATGAAGTGTGCTGCTCAAATACTTCTTTAGACATTGTGTCGTATGGGGAATACTCTGTAATGTCCACTGTACATTTGTCGAAGTGGCCTTATGTATGTTGTACGCGATGTATGTACGCAAACCGCATTTGTACTAAATACAACGCAATAGAAAAAGAAATGCAGAGACATGGCTGCAGGATAGAATAGCCGCTTGCCCCGCAAACGACCTGGGAATAATGTCCACTGCAACCCGCAATTTTTTATTATTGCTTTTATTTGCATCTTTCTCAATTATTCCGTTACGCAAATATAATTTTTCGCTCACGACCAACGATGCCGGAATTTCTGCAAAACGAGCTCGTTAAAAAAGAGACAGGTAATATTTTTTGCAATAGTTTTTGAGCGACGCTCTTTTCCTGAGCTTCTTCTTGTGGTATTTGAGGCGTCAAGAAATTTCTGTCATTACGATGTACCAACTAGCCCAGCAAAAACACTTCTAAATATTTTTTACTGCAGTATACTTGATGCTAGAGAACTTTTATATAACAACGTGACTCACATATATACTCTCTGAAGCCCCATTGGGAAAATCCAGTTAATGATAAGAATGGTAGTACGACGTTTGGAGTAATTATTTTGTGAATGTTACCTTATCTGAAAGGTGTTCTTCCACCTGGACATGAAGTTCGTGTGCGAAAGTCACAGTACCCTCGAAGTCAAGAAATTTTTCAGAAAACCCTGTATTATGTATTCAAAAAACACCCTGTATTTGCACAGAGAACAAAGCTTGTAGTTCTGTAGCAATAGCAAAAGAAATGTGCATAGGTAATAAGCGAAGTGAAACAATGAATGTGGTGTACTTGTCGGTAAACAACGCTGCGCAATTATCTTTCTCGAGACGGGCCTGCAGAGGAGGTAGCATGTACGGAGCTGTCTTCACACCTGTGGAGGCTTCTCATAGCACCGTGGCGGCCTCCCATCATCTTCACGCAGTCGCGAAGCCCTTTGCTAAGCCCACACCGGCGGCAAGATCAAGAAAGGCGCGGCTCTTTTTCTCATCTCCTCGGCATACGCGATTTCGTTACGTGTTGCTGCCGCGGGCATCCATTTCAAGAGCTCGCCGCGAACAGGCCGGGACCGCTGACAACACGTGGGAGGCCTAATTAATGAACAGCACGCAACTCAAACCAGCCTGCAGACGGTTTTAATTAAAGGACAGTGCCCTTACACGCTATGCGCCTCATTTAAAAAGAAAACAACTAAAGAAAACTATTTGTCACAGCCGCGCAGCGCGGCGGTGGAATAGGCGTTTGGCTTGATATGGCCAGCTAGGCTCTGATCACCCATTGCATCAGCCGAATGTTGCCTATTAAAGCTGCGATGCCTCGTAGGAGGTGCGTGAGGAGTATAAATGTTATACTCGTTTGTGCCACCGTCTCCATTATTATATTAACGTGTTTGCATTGCTTACAACGTGCAGATGGCCAGAGCGCTTAGTCATCGCTCTCATTGAATGATCTTTGAGTGCCTAATTTTGTTATAATATTTCGTTATTTGCACAGTACAGCGCCGTTATCTGGGGTCTACCATCATGTTTCTCAGTGCAAAGCATGCACTGATTCGGATGATGCACGAAACTGATCCGCATTCATAACGATGGACCGCTCTTTGTCATTGGGGTCAAATAATAATTCCATGTCAAGCACAGTATTCTGCCAGCACCTTAATAAATCCAAGGTCAAATGAGGCCGCTAATTTATAATTATCAATGAAAACATGCATTTGATAATTCGAAGAAAACTAAACTGTACGCTGTTCATTTGAAATTCACTATACCAACGTCGGAGTTCGGTAGTATCGATGACGCAGGCGTCGCCATGCGACTATCAAGACGTCTATCAGTATCTGTTCTGACAATTCATTTTCCGCAGTCACAGATTCTTCTTTTGTTTTATATAGTAGCTCCGTTTTCGACATGCAGGCTTCCACGCTTGGAAAGCTTCTTTATAACCTGGCTTCATTTTGCTCCGGTGTTTCAGCAGGCTGTAGCCCACTACCGTGGTAGCTACTGCATGCTCAATTTTTACCAGTCACTTGCACTGAAGCGCCCGCAATGACGACCGTGTACCGAAAATGGTGGCGAGACTGAGTGACGAAAAAACGGGCGAGGCAGCCTTCGCCTGGTCGCCACAGCGAGGAGGCTCCGAGAGAGCGCAGTTGCGTGGCGTGATTTGGAGCGACCAAACAATTATGGCAGTTCCCTCTGCCAAGCCTGAAGGAAGGCCGTAACTGCCTTTCCTCTCATTCGTTTCTTTCTCCATTTTTTTCTTTGTATAACTCTTTTGCATCTTTTTTTTCTACTTCTCGCTATTTCTATAATTATATCGCACGGCTCCTTTCTTTCTGAGTTGTCCTGTTTTGTTTTCTATCTTTCTTTCGTGTCTTTCTTTCTCTTCCTCTTCATGTTTTTCTCTGCGTAGTTCTTATTATATGGGATGCCTATTTCTTTCTACTTTTCTCTTCCTATTGATTTATGTAATTATTTCTCTCGTTCCCCTCTTCCTTTTTTTTTTGCACGTGCTCGTTTGACACTAGTTGCACAAGCTAGTCAGGTTTAGCTAATTCCTAAGGCACATACCTGCTTGTCTGGTGACCGTGGACATTTGACGGCCGGCTATAAGAGGGTCACTATAAGAGGGCCGGCTATAAGAGGGTTGAAGAAAGCCGCTGTGGCTGTAGCGCTGAGCTGGCCAAGAGATTTCTCCGGCTCGCGCATCGAGCTACGCAGCTGGGCCTATTTTTCCGAAGCCGACCGAATGCACGTTGTGTCGCGCTCCGGCGACCTCAAGATCATTGCGACGCGATGAATTAATTACCTTGTTAACCTGATTAGGACAAGAATATTTACACTATGTACAGAGCCATAATTATGCGTGACGAACCACTGTTCAGCAATACATTCACATTTTCACAATTTCACATCACATCGCCACAACACAAAAACTAACACTTTAACTTATAGCGAACAACAAAAGACGTATCAACATAATAACCAATGCATATAACTCACAACTCACACAATTTGGGATGGGTGAAATTAACGGTTAGGTACACATGCTCTTTCAGCGTACATCAACTTGAAGGTAGATTCACCAGGGCATAAGATACCAAGGTGGCGAACACAATTCAAAAGGGCGAGGTGACATCAGCATCAACTTCGACCTTATGATGTGGCTTAGCAGTATGTCGGCGGAAATATAAGTTAGACCCGTTCGTGCTGAACGTTTACAGGACATCACCAATGGCGGAGAAACTCGCGATTTCTCAAGAGCTCCTCAGAGAGGAGCGCGAGCATCTCGCACTTCATCCACCCCTTTATTGGTAATAAGGCACGTTGACGGCCATTCCCAGTGACGCCTTCGCATTAATTACGCCAAAGGTTAAACAGGCCGGCATCTACTAAGAGTGCCGTGAAACGCCCCTGTGGAAACCAGCCGCCGGACATGAACTCTCTGATCCGTTGGCCATGAAAGCCAGCATGAACTACACGCCATAAAGAGTGAACGACCACATGTTCGATCATCGCACACCGGTTGTCATAGTCAACCACGAAAGCGACCCCAATAAGTGGTTCAATAATGAAGTGGATGTAATTTGAGCAAGAAACACGAAGCTCTCTATGTAAAACGGACATTTCACCTAAATGGAGGGAAGTTCAGTGCTGTTGAAAAATTTTCAAGCTAATATTTTTGTTCATTGATGTTTGTTGCTACATGGTCAAATGTAGGATAGAAATTCTGTGATACTTGAAGATTTATTCTTACAGCACTACTCTTAGTATAGGCCGAGTAGTAGCCTTGTCCTTTGCATGTTTATGAGCCCTCTATTTTTTTTCTGTTTTTCTTTTTATGTTTTTTTTGTTTTGCAAGCAGTATTTATGTATTGTGACCTTTTGACCTTAGCTTACTCATTGTTACCCCGTTACTTCTTGTATTGTCCCTTGATGGACCCTTAAGGGTAAATAGATTATGATGATGATGATGTTGTTGCTGTTGTTGTTGATGTTGATGATGATGATGATGCAATTGGAAAGTATTGGATCTGCATCTCAAATGCTTCCTGCCCGAATACTTCGTATGGTATTGCGAAATGATTTCATAATTTCATGCCCATCCTTGGTTACCATAGAGCATTGGTACGTGTTACGACATGCGGTATTTTTGTCAAGCCAATGATTCTAAGCAGCCACTTCTAAAGTTCAGCTGCTACAATCTGTTAATACTCTTATGAAAGTGAAATTAGCTTGAAACAATAACACATTGGGATGCCTTAGTCTGTGTCGACTTCTTATCCACATCCATGTTTTGCAGTGAACGTGGACGAGTTCCTCAATTCGCTGGACATCGACTCCCTCCAGATCGAAGACCTGAGCCGCAAAGGCAGCACCGCATCCCGTGGGAGCCGCAAGAGTTCGCGCTCAGATGTGCGTGCACCATCCGTCATGCACGATGATGTCACGTATGCCGGTGGACGCTTCTGCCATTAGTGTACTTTATCCTGAGGTGTATGGGTTCCCGCCAAACAGCAAAAATAACGAGCAAAGGCATTATCTTGCACGTAACTAAGTAGAAGCGGAAATGCGAACTTGTCACTGTCGGGCCACAGCATAGCTGCAACGACTGCCAGAAGCTCCTGCGTAACTTCAATGGCCCATTAATATTTTGGCCCGCCGGCACAGCGTAGCGGAAAAGACGACAGGAAAAAAGAACACCACACGACACGATCGCCCGCCTATTGTTGCCTTTCTTTTCCACGTACCAAATACAAGACATGAGAAAATATAGCACCAAAACACACAAATGTTAGGGTAAGTGTCTAGCTTTGAATGATGTCCCTAACCTCTCAGTCTTCCTCGTGAGGTTTGATGAACGTATCTCAAGGTGTGCTCAAATGACGATGGTATAGTCGTGATCTTGTGCCATTATGACTCGTAAATGTCAGGAATGTTTATGATGTCGCATGTTATTATCGACGGGAACCACCTCGTGAAAATTCAATGCTGTATAGGTACTATTTGCGTTGAAAGATTGGGCGTGAAACACGGACGGTTGTAGGGTGTTCGCTTCTCCCTTGATTCAGTGTTTGCACGAGCAGTTTTTCAACATGAACACGTAGCAACTATAACTCAGGTCTTTGTTATTTACGTAATATTGATACTTACCTTTTTGTACATTAAAATGAATTTCTAAAAAAGTAACAGTTTTGCCACAAGGATGAAGCTATGAATGTGATAGCAATAAATGCCCCATGAAGAAAAGCTCACTCCTTCAGCAAACACGGCAGCTGCAGCGAGCGAACTGGCCTTTGTGCGGTCAATGGCTTCAAACTTCAAACCAAAGTTTGCGGTGAAAGTACAACACTTACGAAAGCCGTGTTTTTGCGGCTGCCGCGAATAACAATAAGCGCATAAAAATAAACAATTTCAAATAGTTTCATTGCTTTCCTTGTATGCCATTATTACTATACCGCATTTGAAATACACACGTAATGTACCCGATGCTTTTCTTTGCTTTATTGTCTCCTGGTTGAGTTTAGTAGTGTATAGCAAAGAAAACGATCGATTAATCGCCCCACAAAGAGCACTCATATTAAAGACACATAGTAGAGCACTGTGTCTAGCCAGCTTTATTCATTGCAGCTTTACTCGCTGTGATTTTTGCTGGTAGTCGCAATACACGGACGGCGAGGCTCAGAGATGAGTGGCGCACCCTGCGCGGCACTGGACCTCCCAATGAGCTTTGATGTCGCCGTTTCCTAGGCTATATTGAGTCGCGCTAATCGGATTAGTGAGGCGCGAACCGGAGAACGGCCAGCAGGTGCGCGCCGGCTGGGGGCGACGTAATGCTGAAATACGTTTCCGCCTTGCCAAGGCCTCGGGCTCAGTCGGCCATAAAGTTATGGCACTTGCTTCATCACGGCCTCGTCCTTGCGGTTCCGTTTAAGAACACCGCTTTCCAGCCTGTCGATGGGGTTTCGAGCGAAAAATACAGCTACGAGGATAGGCATGGACCCGCGCTGCTTGTGTTCCTCCCGGTACCCGCCACGCCGCACGCCGTACAAGTCAACGAGAAAAGTGTCATACCGCTGCGTTCTGCCAGTGTTTGGAGGACGACAATTGAACTAGACGAGTTAGCACTTCGCTGCGCGCGATGTAGCGATTGAACATTGGAAGTGTAGTGATATACAGGCAGCGGAGTGGGTGAGAGAGCAAAAAAAAAAAAGGCAGCCGTTGTTTTTCCGGAAGTTGAGATGAAAATGGCATTGAACACGTGATTTAGAGTATTATAGCGATGGCTGACCAGTAATGAGGATTATGAATGACATTAAGGTCACACCGGTCGTTAGAACGGCCTACCTGGGTCGACTTGCAGAGGTCAACTATAACAATAGACGTACCTCTCAGTGATATAAAGTGGATTAGAGAACAAACAGGTGTGCACGATATTCTATTGAGTGGAGGGAAAATTATGGCGACTGCGCAACAACGGTGCCAAGACTGAAGTAGGTGCACACCTGAGTGGCTTTCCTTGTGTCTCTTTACTTTTGTCTTCCTTCCTTCCTCGCTTTCGTTATGTTTCTCTGTGTTTTGCCATCTCTTTTATTGATTGTTTCTCTTTGTGTTTGTTTCTCTATTTGTCTTTCCGTCTCTTTTTTGCTCTTTTGTATTTTTCTTTACGTATCTATTTATTTCTCGGTCTGTTCTATCTTTCTTTATTTTCCTCCCTTTTTCTCTCAATTTCTCATTTACTCTGGTTTCCCCTCTCTTGCTCTGTGCTTCTGTCTTGCTTTCTGTCTCTTCTTTGTGTCTTTCTTCTCTTGCTCTATCTTATGTTTCTCTTTCTCTCTCTCTCTTTCTGCACTCGTTCTCTCACCCATTCTGGCCAAGGCAAACAAATCGGCGCACACGTTCCAGGAGCGAAGCAGAAGACGAAGAATAGGACAAAGAGAGTGCATGTCGGTTCGTAATGATGATAACCTCCGTTCGCGACTAACGTAGTTTCTCCGAGCTTAAAGAAAACGAACCTTGGCGAAAAGTCATGCCATGAGCTCAAAGCCAATACTAAGAGTTGGAAAGCGCGTCCGAGAGTGGCAACAATGTTGAGAGCTAGGGCTGCTGAGCGATCGTTATACCGCTCGCTGGAGTTGCACACTTTTGACGAGGACAGAGGGTGTCGCGTCTTTCTTGTCTCTTCCGAAGAGGACGGCAAACTTGGAGGCAGAAAATTTAATCGGCTTGCGTGCTCGAAACAAGATGCAGTTAGCATAATACTTATGAACCGCTCCCAGATCACCATCAAAATAACTACAAAAACCACAACACAAATACAATATGAATCAATGGAACAACGTTTCAGCCAACTAAACGTTTGAAAGATGTTACCACTTGTTCGTTGGTTTGAAGGCTTATACGCATTTTACGTCTATTTGGTGTATGAAGAACAACCGCTGTATAAATGCCTAGGTGTTAAGTTTCCTTTCGTGGTGTCTGCATCCAGTACAGCATTCTACAGGCAACACTAAGACACAAATCACATTACAATATGCTCGAAAAAAGACGGCTCGACATAAAGTCAGCAGCCGCACATGCTGTCAGCTCATTTCGTAGTGCATACCTGCTCTCTAAATACGGGTTTCAATTATTATCAGATGACAAACTGCTGTAAAATTCATATGCAAGGGTTAGCAAACAAAAGTTGCCGCGTATCAGCGTGCTTCTTTGCAAATGTCATCGGTAGTCTCCTATCTGAAAGCGATTTGTGAGACACGAATGCCATCTGGCAGTAATCTCGGAAAACAGAAGCTTGTGCAGAACCCAGGGCCACTGGCAGGTATAAGCAACGTGTCACTAGTAGAGTGCCTTTTCGAACATTACGGGCCATTTTCAATACTGCGTAAGAAACACTAGGGGCTTTAGAATTACGTATCTGCGTATTTTTTAATAAAGAAACACGTCACCTAATACTTACGTATTGAGTTTGCGCCTCAGATATGTGTAATACTTGTTTTTTATCGACAATGTTCACAAGTACAAACGCAGCCACTAGATCAAGATGGCTGGGCGCTGACGAAGTGCTTAAACTTTTGCCGGATGGCTGAATCGTCCGACAGACAAATAGGCAGACAGACTGAAATTTCTGCGTTCAAGTTTCCCAAGAAAGATTGTCGCCTTTAAAAAACAGATTAAATATTCAACTTTTAAACCACAGCATGATGCAACTAGTTATCATGACTAGTTGGACAACGGGGAAGGAACTATCATTTTAAAGTTTAATACTTAGTGGGACTTCATGAACTCTAGACCTCAATCAAAAGTTTTCACATCCTGGATTCTTCTCTCAGTGTCGCAGAAAGCTAGTTGTCAGAAAGGTAGTTGACCGTCAGCATCAGCACTGGTTGGTAAGATTTGATGCACGTCTGTTTACTTTTTTTCCCTTTTTCATGTGATTAATGTCGGCCAGAAAACTATGCAGCCGCTTTGTTCATATTTGCTGTGATTGTTTTCACTTTTCCACCTCCCACAGTGTCACCAAACAATAAAACAAAACAGAGGACAAAATGAACGACTGACACCACCACGTCCCCTCAGAGTGCACAGAGGATATAGTTAGATGATTGAGGATTGTACTTTCTTTGGCCAAACAACAAAACACGATAGACCCGAATTGGAACCCGGGCCGGTTCGAAAACGAGATCCTTGACTGCTAGGCCGTGCGCCTTGCTTGATAGACGTGAACTGAACTCAAAAGCATACAATTTCATTTACGCAGACTACGCAAAAATCAAGTGAGAAGAAGTAGACTATATAGCCATGAGCGCTCTATTGAAATCATCTGGGCTAACAGCGATCAGGAATTGCACATTTTATAAAAATTCCGACGTGAACCAAACTGTATTCGCAACCCGCGTTTCGATTATTTTGTGATGATTTTTTTGTGGGGCCGTTCGTAAAGGAACCCTAAAGGAAAATAACAATTTATGTGCGGGTAAAAGCTCAATGTAGGACAACGTCTAAAACGGCAATATATCAACAGCAGTGCCTTACCAAGAAATTAAGCTAAATATATCACATGGCGTGTGCCACCAGTGGATCAGTTTGGAAATGATCTTCATGACGTGAGAGCTTCCCTGTACAATTAATCACTAGCTGCAACCAAACTAGCTGCAATCGAAAAACGAACCTTCTGTGCATCAAGATACGTAATAAAATGCTGTTTGTTTGTTTCTGCTTGATTGAAAAAAAAAGAACCACCTTACTATGAAGAAGTACTATGAAGAATGACGCGAGTGGTTCAAAAGTTCCCTTTTCACCTGGTTAGGCAGGATAGATGGCACCATCTACCGGGGCGCAGTTGATTCAAACAACCAGGAAACTGTTGAATGGCCGTTGTTGCTGCTGCGGGTCCCGCTCTTTTCGCTCGGCTGGTTAGTGCCGGTGGCCGCGTATCAAAAGTGGTCTACGTTGGGCAAGGCAACAGTGACGTCAAAAAGACCACTCTCAGGCGGGTGATTTGAAGCGCGATAACGTGATGCGGGCCATTACAATGTGATTTTATTCAAAATAAGCACTTCCTTGGTACTACGAGGTTTCTGTAAAGGCATTTCAACACTCAACGTGGATACAATATTTTTTATGGCTGATGAACACTGGAAATACTACGAAAAAAGCCATGTCGATTCAGCCCGATAACTGCGTTTTGGGGCACTACCGCTACAAACAAACAAACAAACAAACAAACAAACAAACAAACAAAACAAGGACTTGTGGTATTCATAACAGAGCTTTCTGGGAAAGAAAACAACGTGTGCTGTTTAAATGTATCACTTTTTTATTACGATAGGCCTGATATTGCTCAGTTATAAATGAGGTCATGGCGAGATGACGAGGCTCTCCGCGCACAGTGTTATGCGTTTTACGAACTACGAAAACACAGAAGCCTATGTACAAGCCAAACAGCGTGTTTAAACATCAAAGGTGAGAAAATAATATTTCGCTAATTTACATGGCTTCGAGGAGCATTATTGTCTATAGTACTCACGGCTTGAAGCGTGACTATTAATGCTTAAGGAACGCACATGCTTTTGTTTCCACCGTCGTTTGGGTTACATCAGCGGCGTGATTTCGACTCGAGTGCGTCGATAAGGGTCAGAATTGCCTTCAGAGACGAGATTCATCGCGACACGACGTGGTTGTTCAGAGTAATCGCCCATGTGAATCGTTATAGTAAAAAAATATTGATGTCACGTTTGAATCCGTGAGTATATAGTATACGCCATGAGCCACCACTGGCAGCGTGGCTTGCCAGGGCTCATCACGCAGTTTGACAAGCGTTTGTGTCTCGCAAGAAAGAATGAAATTTATCTTTTCACAGAGGACCCGGTTTGTTCATTGGCGCACTCAAGGAGTTAACAGTTAGCTCAAACGAACAAAGGAGTGGCTTGTCGTGTGGTAACTCTCCTCTCTATGGTTTTTTTTTTTACATCTGTTCAGATTACTATTCGCTGTCTGACGGATACGGCTAGACTGGTCTGATATCGCAGTCTAGCATCCCTTTAACACTCACTGTGTATCTTTTGACAGCTAAACTACGAGGAACCGAACGAGGCGGAGTATTACGAGGGAGACTTCGAGAGTGGATCCTTTCCGGAGACGTCCGGAGCGCCAGCGCCAATGAGTGTCGGTTCGGACGAAGCCGCCCAGGTCATGGCTGCCGCCTCGTCGGCACAGGTGACGAGTGCATGCGGGAGTATATACATGAAAATCGTCGTCAGGAATCATGGGTGGGGCTAGGATAGACCAATACGTTCTGTAGGATAACATACATGGTATTCGTTCCAAAAGACAAGGCATGCAAACGCGCTCACAAGAAGAAAGACAAGAAACCACAACTAACAACTGAAGAGACGCACAGCGGCGGCAGAGAAAAAAATCACGAAAACTTCTCTGCACATTCCCATGCAGTAGGCAAACCTATCAATCCGGCACGGGGTGGGACATACGTATCATATAACAGTATTTGATAATCGACGCTGTCTCACGCAAGCTATACCGCAATTATTGATACGACATGCTTCAATCATGAGACGCGTTATTTTTATTTTTTTTGCTGCTTCAAGACTGCGCATTCATCGACTTTTAGAGTGAACTTACACTCTCGACAGATTAGACAGTGAGCCACCGGTTATATCAATCTCTTATGTTTCAAAGATGTCTGGTTAGTGCATTAGCCCGTCTGTTTTACGTAGAAGCGGCTTCAGCTGAAAGGAACCTTATACGTGCACCACACCTGTACGGCACTCAGTGTGCTTTGCAAAAGAAATATCGGCCCGCTTCTTGTCTTTTAATATCTCACTATTTCACTGCACTGCGGCACATATCTTACCTAGCTTATAACTGCAGCCGTGAAAAGAACATTACCGCCATATCTACGTCCAACGTATATTTGGACGGAAACACGCACTTTAGACCCACCCAGAAGTTTTTGTAATGTTTCTCGAGAAGCGTTAAAAATCAAGATATATAAATACAGTTCTATAAATCAGCGTGTAATATCACGCATAGCACGGGCCTTTTTCTATGCACCTGTTTACTTTGGATTGCATTTTCTCTTGACCCTTTGAACCGCTTCAGGGCGGCGCCTTGTACGACCCGACTGCAGTGAAATGGGACGAGCCCGAGGTGCCAGCTGTCGACGTCGGCAACCTGGAGGCCTCCGGTGAACTGCCAGCTACCGAGGAAGAAGGCGAGGAGTATATGCGTGCGGCAGAAGAACGCGAGGGCTCGCTCAGAGTGGCCATCAAGTGCTTCGCACTCTTCTCCTACGAGGTACGTGAACCTACCTCCCGAATTCTTGACGACGCATACATGGCCCATTTTGCAATGGCGTTGTGGATGCTTCTCGGGGCAATAAACACGGTCGGGTCTCATCCGGTGACCACATTGCGCAGCCACAATTCTTTAGAGCACAACCAGCATACGCCTCTGACAGTTGACAGGTTTTGATTTTCAAATTCATGTTTTAACGCGATAGCGTTCAAGAGCTACAGTGTCGCAGAAATCCTGACGTCGGTGCCGGTGTCGGTGGCAATATTTCTGAGCGAAAAATCATCTTTGCGTGACCGAAATATCAAGAAAGATGCAAATAAAATAAATAATAAAACATTTTGGGTTCCAGTCGGGATTGAAACCAGGTGAGTTGCGTTGGAAGCTGGTGTTGTATACCACACAGCCACGTTTCTGGTGGTGAATACAGTGAAAGTAACTTCCTATGCTTGGAAATGAAGTGAAAGCAACTTTTTTTCTTTGCAAACACACTCGTCCTGGATACATGCTTCAAAATACAACATGAAATAGTGCCGTAATAATGCGTGGTTCAAACGTATACTATCGGGCATCAGAACATGGGCCCTTCATAATGCCTTCATATTTTAAAGCCAGTCGCTCACTAAAGAAGGCACGCACACACCCAACTACATACACCCTTTAGGTCATGTAATAAGTGCATATAGCAAGTTCGAAAAGATTTCATACACCGCGTGTTTGTTGTACGCATTAGGAACAGAATTTGCTACCGCGCTCAACTCTTACAGGCGAAGCTTAAAGGTGCCCCAATTTTTTATCGTCCTTGCGCGTCACGAGCCGATAGATAATGGTTCAAGTCAACAAGTCTATCGATTGCGAAGTCAATCGAGCAGCAACCTTCGCTGCAAAGATTCAGTTCCACCATAATTGATCTGACTGACAGAAGCTCAGTGTGTGCGCCATGTTTGTCTCTCATCATGAGGAAGGCATGAGCGCCGGTGTGCTCTATTTCTGGCGTCACAAAAAATGTGAAAGTACAATGCGTGGGTATTTTACGAGAGTTAACGAATCAATAGAAAAAGTTATTAAGTGAGTTATTCAGTGCATACACCCAATGAATGTATTCACTTTTTGAAGGGCATCTTTTCGCTGTTTTCGTCGTCTGACCTTTGGTCACCAGCCGCAGCTGATGTTTCAAAATGGGGCTGGATAGCAAGTGAGATGCCATGAAAAGTGAGATAGCATAAAAATGGGGGGCCGGGAAGTCGTGTTTTAGGTGAATTAGGTAACAATTTACCGGCACAATTTTAAGGGGAATCAAACAGCGCAAGACATTGGGTGGGGATAGAACGAAAAACAGAAAACAATGGCACTCAAGACAACAGATTTGTGCCAATCAATCATATAATTAGCATGTGCACTTCTGACAGGCGATTCTAAATAAATAACTAAGCATTATTGTCATAATTAGCGATGTGGTGACCTGGACTGTATTGTAAACGGCACCATATTTCAAATTGCATGAACCAATTTCGCTCTCTAGCGCTTGCAGATAGATGAATTTGTGGGGTTTAACGTCCCGAAACCACCATATGAATATGAGAGATGCTGTTGTGGAGGGCTCCGGAAACTTCGAGCACCTGGGGTTCTTTAACGTGCACCCAAATCTGAGCACACTGCCCTACAACATTTCCGCTTCCATCGGAATTGCAGCCGCCGCAGTCGGGATTCAATCCCACGATTTGCGGGTCAGCAGCCGAGTACCTTAGCCACTAGACCACCGCGGCGGGGCAACTACGCGTTTCATCACTCTAACCATTTCGCTTCGCTGGTCGAGCACAATCGGGTTTTGCGGCTTGCGGTGCTCCATAATATCCACAGTAATTGGCCTACGTACAATGCACAACGAAAACCGTGCCTCCATTTTCAACTCCCTGAAGGATATTTTGCATTAAATACAATCAGTGACTTACAAGCTTGAAGAAAAATTAACGCACAAAAGGGACGTGAAGGGCAACTCGCTCCTCGTGAGTTGGCAGCGATTGTTGATCGTCGCTGTCGTAGGCCCGTGTACTCAGATTTGGGTGCACGTTAAAGAACCCCAGGTGGTCAAAATTTCCGGAGCCCTCCACTACGGCGTCTCTCATAATCAAATTGTGGTTTTGGGACGTTAAACCCCACAAATCAATCAATCAATCGTCGCTGTCACTCTCGGTGCGTTGCAACATTGTACGTCCAGCGTAAAATCTTCGTCGTCACGACGGTTTTTTCAACACCAATTCATCTAATTGCTGAAAGCAATATAAGCAATTTCTTCCCCCAAACGACTTCGACACCACCAACACCGCTTCACTCAACACAATTATCGGGGCGTGGAAAACATTTTGCTCTCAAACACGTTCGCAAGCGAATTGATTATTGGAGTCTGCTACCATTAACCAGCAAACGCACAAAAACAAGCGGCGTAGCGTTGACCATGTTTTCGAGAGCAAATAGCGAGCCCGCGTGACTTTTCGCGTACAATGAATATTGTGGTATTCATGTACTACAAAAGCACTGATGAATGCTATACGCACGTAAAACAACGCGAGTTTCAGCTACGAAGGTACGACGGTAATGTCTAACCAACTACGTGGCTATAGAGAGAAAGAATTATTTTCAACCCGTCTAGAATGACCGTGGAGGAGGCTTCGGCCTCTGCACCAGTTCATAGTCCTCGGCCGGAACCCCCTGAAACTCGGTGGCGGACAGGGCAAGATCGATGACTTTACGTTGTTCTTCGGCGCCATGACTACGTAATAAGGCCTCCGAGTTCTTGCTTGGATCGTTGTATAGGAAGGGCAGGTCCAAACCATGTGCACTAAGCCTGCAGTGCTATTACAATGCGCACATACTGGGGTTAAACACTTCCGGGGACCATTTTCTGTACAGGCTGAGATTTGGAAACAGTCCGATTTGCAATCAAAATACCGTGAAGCGGATATGTGTGCTCTGCTATAATCGAAAGCGCGAATTGCCACATTTTGCACTTCACGAAAACTTCACGTCTTGCAACAACGAATCGAATTTATAGTCTCATGGACGGTCCAGCTTATGCACTGATTCAAGAACCATGCAAAGTGGTTAGTGTTCGTTGCTTGCTAACGTGTTAACACTGAGACTAGCACGATCCAACAAGAGAACGTTTGCCTACTGACCATCCTCGACAGGACGCTCCTTAATTCCGCTTGGTGGCGCAACATTCTGTGGGCATTGCGAACATATACAGATTCATTGAATTTTTTAAAGTATTAACATAATAGCGATATGCATTGTGTCATCGTTTAAACGTTATTTAAGGGGAATTGCCGTTGCTATATAGAGCTGTTTTATCTTTTGAAGCCTTAATTTGTCTCAACCGTCTTGAAATAAAAGCTTGTTTCCATAGTCGCACGCCTCCCATGATCCAGCTTTAGTTTAGCGATAACGTACTTGCTGTTGTAACAGCTGACAACCATTTCAGTGTGATCTTCCTGATCTCCTGGTCTAGGTTCTTTGCAGAATGGAGAAACTTCTCTTAAACAAAAGAGAAATGCGGGTATTTGTGCATTCGCATGGAATTCTGATGTTAAATAAATTCGTTTTTATGTCGCCAGATTTGAACAGTGGCATACAGACAGCCACGAGGACATTGACACTTCTACAAGGTACCCGCTGAGCGCTGAGCCTCTGGTAAGTTTCTCACGTACCTGAGAGTCACCGGCGCCAGGCGAAAACCGTGAGAGAAGGAAACAGAATGATCCCTCAAAAGTGCTGTGAAGTAATTTTACAATCGTCTCCTATACCAACCTACGATGTACTTCGCCTACAAGCGAAAATGTTTCAGTCAGATCTGGAAAAAAATCGGATAAGGTTTTTCCACTTGAGGAGCGCTTTCCTCTCAACTTTCTCAGTCGCATACGGTGCTCAGCTGCCAGAATGAAACATGAAAGGAGAAAGCAGTGGAAGAAGCGGTATTTCTACAGGTAGGTGTGAAGAATTTCTGAGAAGAGCTCCCACCACGATACCACCGTCCTCAGGAAGTATAGGCGATCACGAGCTTTCAGCTGGGCGGTGATAGATCCAGCGTCGCTCACCAGAGAGGGCACCCATCCGTCAAGGCTCCTGCTGAACGGGCGTCAGAAAATCTCCCCGAATCCAGTCGGCGCGTTCTCGGTGAAATCCACGGGCTTCCCTCACACATCGTGCTTCCACTACGCCCGTTGCCGTAGCAGTAGACTGCTACCACAGATGGTCGTAGCGATGTCTTTTTCTTACGCAGGCACTGCTTCCGGCTTCGCTTTTTTCTTGCTGTATAGTATAACCAGTTCACGTCTAAGAACTTGCATTTTTCCCTCAGAGTTGCTATTTGATGTGTACGCACACTTCCTTTTGCCGTACTTTCGTCGTTCTCTATTCTTCGTTTTAGAGTACTTGAAATAGTCGCGGTGTTCTCTGAGTGGTGTTCTCTGAGTGTCTTTTTTATTATTTTATGATTATTATTTGGACGATGGCTTTCCATATAATCATTGAATAGCCCTGAACACAAGTGCAGAATAGCTTAAGAAAGGTCGCACAATGAACTACCAGGGTTCATTGTGCATTCACCTACGACTACAGAAAGTGAGAGCCATATTTTTTGTTTCTTCTCAGTATAAGATTGCCAATAAGTGAGCAAGGAACACGAGCCGTGGCTTCACGTGTCAAGCACACTTTTCTTCCGATCATGTTCAGGTGGCACACTGTCCTGTTTTGCGCAGCGCACAAAGGAGGCTGCTACAACGACATCGTGTGGCGTTACATCACATGACGTCACGCCAAAATTAGTGACGTCGTGATGTCGGGAAAAATTTGGGGATCTGTGACGTCACGATGGCGTCATATTGTAGTATGTGTACTTCTTCCAGGTGGTTCAAAATAAGTAACTAAGAATTAATGCCGTAATTCGTGACGTCTGTAACCTGGCCTGCATCGTAAACGGTGCAATAATTCAAATCGCATGAACT